TAGAATCTTCCCGCTTTGCGTTCCAACTCTCCCCCCCCCCCCCTCCTCTGTTCTACCTTTGTTGCCATTACCGCTGCGTCGTTCGCGTACGGCAGGGACCATATCTTCCTTCTTCCTACTACGATCCCCGGTTAAATAAGGTTGGACTAAAAGGGCATCCATGACTTAGTCCTTTGTCCAAAACACTTTAGACTCCTTCCCTTCTACTCTTACCCTCAATCTTGTCTTTACATACCCTTTGATTCACTCCATTAGCTTCTAGTCTATCTGCCATCATTTTCCATACTTTTTCCCTTTCCACTCTGTCAAACGCCGACCGTCTTTAAGTCCATGAAAAACGCAACCACCTTGGCATCCTTTTTTTCTAATTCCTTTTCCACCAATCGGTGTAGTACATATACACCGCAGACCGTTTCCCTCTCTTTACTGAATCCCATTTGTGTTTCTTCCAACATCCTATTCTCTTCTATTTCTCTATCTAATCTTTTATTCTACACCATTGCCTAGACTCTATACCCATTCGTCATTCTCGTATAATTTTCCATTTTCCATATTTTATTTCATACTGTCCGCTATACAGTACATTACATCATTCATTTGAGTCCGGAAAGTGATCTATTACATCACAAGGCCGGAAGGTGTTGCGTAGCAACTGATAATTTTCTGACAAGAAGAAACGTCAAATTTATTTAAGACGATAGCTATTTACATTAATCATCCGAAAGCTTAGGACTATTAATTATACAATTAGAATTCTCAATAATTTTAATACTCGTAGAGGACACACCCCCATCGCTGGGGACTGTGGTGGTGGAAACCTCTTGCCACCTTCTCAACCATATTCTCGGGGCGAAAATTGCACTAATTTCTGTACAAGTTCAAAAAATTCACTCCATCGCACTTATTAATGACTGGAAATACGTCTACCGTGAGTTTTTGTGTCCTGATGAATCCGAAATTAAAAAGTTGTACAATTAGGTGTCATCTAACCTTTACTAAAATGTAATCTTTTGTAGGCGCTGTCAACTTGACATATTTGGAAATGTTCGCGTTTTCATTTATAATGGTTTTGCACATTTAATATTTGGACCACAATGTAGAACTAGAGAACTTTTTGGCCTAGAAGGTATTCTATTAGTTTAAAGAAGGTTTATTAGCTCTAATTATTTTCTTACCGCATCCAAAACGTTAGAAAGCATAATGTTTTCGTTCACATTATTATCCTCATTGTACCTTTTTTCGCCAAGCACAAACTATATAACTAATACTGATTTCTGGGGATGAGGTTTTCTACAGCTTCTTCACTTTTTGAACAAACCACCCTTGCAAATTCACCACCAGAAGAACATGCCGCGTCAAAATTGAGACAGTATGAAATAAAATTTTGTACGATACACGGCCGTGAAGTGAGTATTAAAGCACTCGTTTAGAAATTCCGAACTCGGCTCCTTCGTCGCCTCGTCCGTAAACATCTAAACTCGTACTTTAATAAGCCACTTCCCGGCCTTATAACGTAAATAACTATTATTGCCTCTTTTGAAGATCTGCAATATTACCCCTTCCTTACACTCTGAAGGTACCCCCCCTTCTTTCCATATCTTGTTGACTACCTCCTCATCTTTTCCTTGGCTCTATCTGTGGTGAAAATCCAAGTCGCATTTCCTATTCCATCTCTTCCTGCCGTTCCCTTTCTTCTGTCTTTTGAATTGCTGCCCAATCTCTCTCTTATTATCTCATCTCCTTCAACTCCTTCTCATCCTACCGCTTCCTCTTTCTCCTGCTTTCGTTGTAGTACCTTAATAAAATGTTTTCATTCCTCTAACTGTATTTATCTTCCACTTGTTCTATTTTTCCCTTTTCTTTTGTTTATCACGTTCCAAAAGTCGTCTGTTCTTAGTTCCCTGATCTGTTCTTCGTGTTTTTTTCTTTTTCTCTATCTTTTTATCTTTACATTTTCTGTTGTATTTTTTTTTCTGTTCTCTCAACTGTTCCCCCTTTTCTTTCTATGTTTTTCTTTTTTGCACACTATCTCACGACTGCTTCTTTTCTCTCTCCCCTCTCCTTCAGTTATTTGTTTCCACGTAATTGATTTTTGGATTCTAATTATTCCACTCCTCCTCTATGCTCCGTCCTCTAGCTCGTTCCTCTAGCCTACTTCTATACACCTCCACAGTGTCTCTTGTCCAGAACTGTATCTCCCTTCTTTCGTGCTCTTCTTCAATCAAGTTTACTGAATCTGTTAAACTAAAACTGGAGACTGATATTAGGAGACCATAAACAGTACTTTCTTCTATTGGTGTTTTCTGTCAGCTTAGTATACTATCATTTGCAAAGAAATAGTCTGACATATAGTATGCATGAAAATGATAAAGTCACTAGATATAGAAAGTACCGCAATCATCCGCCATTTTTGGGCAAATTTGCTGCCAACTTAAAAAAATTGACAAATAAAATCTGAATAGCTGTCATTTTTTATAACCTAAAGGTGGGTTCATAGCTCTCCGTTCATCCGTTGCGTTGATCCGTCAAACGGATAGTACATTTTGTTAAGGTTCATAGCAATCCGTCCACATTGTACATTTGCAAGTATAACCATAACCTAAATTTTATTTTGTACTGTACCCTTCGTGATTTTCAGTATGTGAAAATGGTACGAAAGTAAGAACACATTGCTATCTGATTATTACCGTGAAGAACGAATATGCGAACGCTGTTAACATACCAAACATAACCTCACTCTTGTTAAAAACGGACCAACGGAAACGTAAATGTTCAACTTCAACCAACTTTTCCGTCGTAAACGGATGACGTACGATTTAAAAATTTGCTGTCTTCTGATTGGCTAACGGACAAACGGAAACGTATGAACGGAGAGCTATGAACTTACCTTAACTTCATAGTACTGTCATGTTTTATAAAAATATATACAGATATCTCCAAACAGGTGGAACAATCCCTAACATTAAAGTTACTAGAATCTGGTAACTTCCGCCATTTTTGGGCAAAAATCATGCGTTCTCTCTCTAACACACGAGCCCAATGGATTGCGGTACTTTCTATATTTAGTGACTTTAGAAAATGAAGCTTTCATGACGATTTCTGGTAAAGAAAGAATTTACTCGCCTTCGCACTGCTGTCATCCTAATACGAACATTTGAAAAAAAATTAGTTGCATCTAAACCTTTTTGCCAATAAATTTTAAACCTTCCCTTGTGTAATCCTACCATTAAGTTTAACTAATAATTTCCGCACTTTTTATAAACAAATGTACACATATCCTCTTGTTGCTACTGTCCTAAAAAACAATGTGTGGAAGACAAATCTGTATCAGGACCAAAACGTGTGAAGAATTTTTCCAGAAATTTTGTTTAGATATTCGCGTGCCTAACGCAGTAATTTTTCAAAGGAATGTTAAAGTATCAGGAGAACAAAATTAAATGTTATACCTTCTGCTTCGAATTTTAAGGGGAGAACGTAATAGATGAAAAAGTTTTTGCTAATAAACTTTGCTCATCCACATGTTTCCGTGATCTTAACTCAAAAACCTCTCCAAAAAATGGATATAAATAGACCCCAATACCCGAGAAAGTTCTTGCAAATAAGTTTTACACCTTCCGACGACTTTGTAGCCCTAATACAATTTAAAACAGACCCTAAAGAGTCGTAAGACCGCAACGACACCAAGGATCCAAATGACTCCACGAACCCAGGAACACCAAAAAGTCGAAGCACTGAGGAACTAGAAGAAATCCCAACATCTTCGAAATACTACAATTAATACAGATACCACGATACTTCACATACCTACTATAGAAGGGCCTCAGCGCCCCACTGAACGCGGCGATTCCAAGGAGTACGTGTACTCCAAGGACGCTGAACATCCGAAGGACCTAGTGCGAGGGACTCGAAAGGGCCACAGATACTCCAAACGGTCCAAATAATTAAATATACCAAATACTACATCAAGCCTCCAAATGATCCAAATTTATTGTCTAGTGTGTGAATGTAATACACCGGTAAATGTTGATAACCATTACCACGAGCATTACCATATTACCACGTTTTCCCCAAACATTTTTCCAAAGGGAAATTGTTTCAGAAGGGCATAGCACGGCATAAGACATCAGAGAGTGTTGTGAGAAGGTATTTGGCGATATAATTTACCTCCTACGATTTCTAGCACCCACTACATTTCTCAGTTCGATTTAAAAGCAACCACACGTGACGGAGAGTAATTCTACATAGCAATGGTACTCGCGATGGTATTTATTAAAAATGCAGCCTTGAAATGGTATGTACAATTAAAGCTGCGCCTTGATTTGTAAACAATTGCCTCAACAAATTATTGGACTCGGCTAATATTCAAGTTCAACCACTATCTATTAGTAATCCTTCTCTTGTCAACGAATTATGTAAGCAAGCATTCGTGAGATAGTTTGTCGCTTTCTCAATTTTTTCCCAGCACTTACACACAAATTGTATATTAATTGTGTTTCCTTGTCGTAGGACGAGTCGGAAGACAAGTGGGTCACTTGGTGCCATGTCTGCAAGACGTTCCAGCAAGAAATGATGAATTTAATTTAGAATTAACGGGAGCAGGAATAGGGTATGAATTACAATCATTTTTGTAATTAACAATAAATCGTTCCACAACCAGCATCACGAACCGTTACCTGGTGAATTAATATACGTTTAGGCCATCGACTTCTTTTACAGTGTTTATCTTTTCTGTATTGTAGGTCATGCGACGTCTGGTATGTTTGGATTTACTGGTGGCTGGAGCGCTTCTGACCATCGTGACAGCACAATGTCCCTGGCAAAGAGAATCGTTAGAACTTCAATCTTCCTGTTTGTGCTCCTACAATTTGGCGCGCGAACTTTCGGTGCAGTGCGATATGGTGGAATGGCAAACACTTTTAGTGGCCCTAAACCAGTACGCTACAGAGACACCCTTAGACTTATTGTATGTAAATAATTCAACAGTAGGTGCATTAACAGACTCAATTTTTGCTAAATTAAAAGTGCATAATATACAATTATCCGGGTGCAAAATAAAAACAGTGTCTAAAGATGCGTTTAAGGGACAAGAACACCACTTAAAAAACCTAAACTTGCAGGACAACGATTTAAGTGAAGTTCCACTGGAAAGTCTAAGGATAACAAAATCGTTAATGCTGCTAGATTTATCTCACAATCGAATCAGTGAGATTCCCGATGGTGCGTTTGAAACGTTGACGAAGTTGACAACGTTAAAGTTGTCAGACAACAATATCACTATCAGCCATGGTGCTTTACGAGGTCTGGATGGGTCTCTGAAAAATTTGAATCTTAAAGGCACTCGGCAAAAAGAAATCCCCATAGCCGTAAGGGGATTGCGAACGTTAGCATTTTTAGACTTGTCACAAAATAGCATAAGAGAACTGCCAGGGCCGGACGGCGCGAGTACTTTTGACGAACTGAATTCACTGACAGCCTTAAATTTAGAACGTAATCTCATACAAAGCTTGGAAAATGACACCTTTGCCGGTATACGAACTACGCTTAGTTCGCTAAGCTTGCTCAACAATCTACTGCCCGACTTCCCTACCGGAGCAATCAAAACGCTCAAGGAACTACGCGTTTTGGACATAGGATTTAATCTCCTAACGGAACTGCCCGAAAACGCATTTCTGGGCAATCCCTCCCTGACGCTGCTAGCGTTGGATGGTAACCCGCTCTCGACAATACCCCACGCGGCACTGGCACATCTAAACACCTCACTGCGCGGTCTAAGCCTCGGTGGAAGATTCCTTCACTGCGACTGCCGATTAAGTTGGGTGGTCGAATGGATACGAAAAGGCGATCTTCAAGTGACAAGCAGAGAAAGAAATCCGCAATTTTGCGGAAGTCCGGTGAAATTTAGAGATCGAGGGTTTTACACCATCCAGCCCGAAGAGCTGGCGTGCAATGCCAGCGATCCAATTGGTGTGGCCACCGTTGTCAACGCAGATTTGGACGACGCAGCGAGTAACGCGTCGGATCCTCCAAAGTCGCAAACCAGCACAACAACCACGACTACCACCGCGAAAAGTACTACGACCAGCACTTCTGCGCCCGAGTCCTCCACCAGCACGAGCACAAGAAGTTCAACGGCAGTTTCAAGCACAACGTCCAAAGTGACTCTGAAGACCTCACGAACGACGTCATCTTGGAGGCAAAATGGTAACAGCCGACCGCCAATAATTATGAGCTACCCTGCCAAGAATAAAGCTGACGATTCTTCTGAAGTAATTGTGAAGAACGCATACAGGCAAGATAACTCCGTGATTATTCAGTGGGATTCCGACACCGCCAACATTTTGGGCTTTCGAGTTGTGTACCGACTGTTTGGTGACAAGGCGTTTAAGCAAGGTCCACCTTTAGAAGCCAGCGAGAGAGAGTTCAAGATCAAAAATGTACCCTCACAGGTAATTACTATCAGTCTTGTATCAAAATCTAACGCACCCCCTTAGGAATGCATAGTCGTCTGCGTGGTGTCCTTGGAAGAAATCACAGTAACACCAGACACAGTTCCTTACGCCCAATGTCGGGAGGTTCGCACCGTGACGACGAACTCTTCCAACATGGACAAAATCACAATAGCTGCCAGCGCAGCGATTTGTGGTACCATAGTCGTTGCGGTCATTATCTTCGTCGCCGCCTCTAGACGACGATCTCGAAAAATGCACGAGCTCCACCAACAGAAATTGGATGTGAAGCATGGCCTCCCGATCGCCGGTCTACCGGTCAATTGCTGTGCGGGTCTCGGGCCCGCTCCCAGTCCAGGAGGACCACTTTCGTCCTTGGCCACGCTGAACGCCTACAACAACACAAAGGTAAACACGCCTCATACTACAAATCGTAAACTGGACTTATGAGAGTTGTGATAGTAAGTCTAGTTTATAACTTCGCCTTACTCGTAGTTAGTACAACTAAACAATGATCTGTTTTTAGGATGCTGAATCTAAAAGTCAGCTACTGGTACCACAAATCACAACTCTCTGACTAGTACCTAACATAATCTCTTCATTTTCTTCATAGCTTTAAAATGATATTGTACTTCCTCAAAACTATGTGTAGAGTAGTACTATTAAGTATGTAATTAGTGGGTTCGGTTTTTACTTCAACTATGTACAAAGCAAGAGACTGTTACTAACTCACCATGCGCCTCTAATGTTCACCATGAATGATCGCTCTATGATACGACACATTTTCAGGATTGGGATCAAATTTCCACGTATAGCACTCACAGTACAAGAAGGCCAGTTATATACCCAATTGAACAACCGTCGTCTCTACAAGATGACATGCGATCCCACTTCAGTTCCAAGGGAAATAAAGCGCGCTCGTTAGCCGACGGCCAATCGCAGCACAGCTTCTCAAACCACTCGGGAAGGTACCTAACCTCGAGCGCGTTCCCGACGAATCTCCTCACGGGAAGGCAAGGTAAAACGGTTTACATCGAACATTAAAATGAATGCAAATAGATTTTCGCCTTTCACAGACTTGAGACATTCACGCCAATCATTAGCATTGCAATCGGATCGCATGTCACGTGCATCACATCCATTATCTCACGCACCGACCCATTCAGTATCATCATCAACGAGACGAAATAGACCAAGATCGCGTTCGCGCGACCACCACAGACCCAGTAGCCGATATAGCGTCGCCGATTCGACTCACACGCTTAATAATTACTGTGACAACTCAGATAACTGGACTGATCACGATATGGACATATACATGGCCCGTAACCCCACGACTAGAGGTGGATTGGTACCTCTTTAACTCACAATTAAAACTATGTCATTGAGCTGGTCATTAATTTATGAACAAATCAACTTGTAATCCAAGCTAGTTAATAACGATTCTTTATTTATCAGGTGTACTGCCACACATTCAGGAGGCTTATGCGCGCGATCACCACAGTAGGCTAAATTTTGGTTGAAGTGGTACCTACACAGGGGACAAGCAAGCGTTAAGTCGCTTTCCGCCAAAGCTTTGCAGATAAGTACGTAAGGTAGCACTTCGACATGTGACAATTGTGAATAGTATTATTGACAATACTTTCTAATGTTAAGGTTTTATACTATGTAGAAATAAATGACAAATACTTTATGCGAATTTTCTTCTTTCAAAACTGCCATTATCTTTTAAGCATGAGAATAAATCTGTTTCACTTCGTCTTGAAATACTACCCCACTCCCCTCACGACATTTTGTTTAAAAAAAACCTGTTATACCGCAGATCCTTACGGGACCAAGTCAAGGAAGCATTGTTAGGTTCCGGTGGTCACTCAAATAACCGGATTATAATAAAAACAGCCTCCAAAAGCAGGAATGATTGGATTTAAGAAATAAGTAGAACAAAAATATCTCCCTTCAAAAGGCCCCAAAACAAGTTCCGAAAGCAAAACAGCTTTCCAAAGGAATTAAAATAACCGATAACAGGGCTGGCTTTTATAGCAGAAACCACATAAATCATTATAAAACTTTGAAAAATTCTGAAGTCGTTAAAAATAGCAAATTGGTTCTTCGTTTCCATGGAAACAGTATTGTTATATGTTCTGAACTTCATTTTATTTCGTGCTCCACGTCCTATTCTTGATAATAATGGCAAATGTCATTAGAATGTACTGTTACTGCTAAAGACAGGCTTGGCTTACTCATCAAAACCTATTAAAATGCCAGTTTAACATCTGCCATAAAATAAAATACTATTATGAGTGTAAACTTAATGGTGGCGGACCTCTACTGCATAACTGAAAACCTGCACTTGAAATCTGTAATTTCCTATCACGAATTCGCAGTTTCATTTCCAAAATTATTGATATTGCGGCTTTGTAATACACTGTGATATTCGAAATAAAAGGTCGTTTTTCTTGCACAACTGTCTTCCATGTTATAACAGTTAAACAATCAGATTAATTAAAAAACTATAATTCTGCTTCTTTTTGTAAAACTGACTTCCTTAAAATGTGGTTTGTTTGGCTATTTTGAACAATAAGAAAGTTACCCGTGCAATCTCGATCAATCGGCGCAAATTTTTATTCAAATCGTCTATACGTGGCTTAATATGGGTAACTAGTCAGTAGCTGTATACTAGCATTATCTGTACTGAAACAACCTTTCCAACAGACGCTAAGGCGGTAAAAAACGTAGGCATTGTAAGGGTACTTAGAAAACCAGTGAAACCACTCAAAATTTGGGTTTTACTCTGAAATCATAATATGAAAAAATATAGTGTCAATTTATTATGTAGTTCAATATCACCTTACAGTGTGTTTTAAAAAAAGTCGGATATCTATCGGCGTACCCATGAAAACAAAAAAGTCTTAATAAACATAAGCCAGCAATTTAGTGCTTCAGAGACACCGTTGAGGAACCTTCAGTACAACGCTTCGTTGCGGAGAAATCATCATCAACTTTATTTTTTATATGACCAGTAAAAAAAGTACGCACTGTGTTGAGTAGCATATTTTATTTCGAATGCCAATATATATGACACACAAAAGAAACAGAAGTTGAACACTGTTGGTATCAACAGGATGGGGCGACCGCGCACAAAGCCCTAATCGTGCGAGAATACCGATCGGACAAATTTCCTGAAAAATGCGGCGTTGTGCGCGGGTGCACCACCCTGTTGAAACCAATAGTTTTTTTTTGTGTTTCGTATCGTTCGTATTAAAAAAATTCTACTCGACACAGTGTGTACATTTTTTACCAAGCATTAAAAAAATAAATGGCTATTTCTCCGAAACGAAACGTTGTATTAAAAATCTCTCAACAGTGTATTGAAAGAGTTTTGTAGCTTAACAAAGAACATCAGAAAAAAATAAAAAACGAAATCGGCAAATTTCGGTTTTTCTGGAATATCCGAAGTAATAGAAATTTTCTGGTTTTCGTTAAAGTTCGTTGGGCTTGCCTGAATATACAGGGTGTTAATACTAAGTCTTTACACCCGAAAATCAAACATAGTTCCAATTTTTTATTTGGTGCCTCGGTTCGATGATATTGGCGGCGTTGTTTTGTTTTTCGAAAAATCATCATAACTCCCTTAGACTAATGAAAAAAACAAATATTTTCAAAACTATCTTTCAGCTCTCTAAAACATTTGTATTTGGAATTATGTTTTACATTTTCTAATAACAAAATAGCGATTCATCAAAAATTAAAAAAAAAACATTTTTTGATAACATTTTCCTAAACATTTTTTTCAATTTCCATTTCCCAAATGGCCCCTCTTCACAGGATAGGTTGAAAAAAATGTTTAGGACATAACGTTTAATAATAGGAAATAAAATAGCTACATCTACTCACATTCATAAAATTATCGATTGTTGCAAAAAAATGCAACCACAAAAAAAATTAAAATAAGTGATGAGTGGTACTCAGGATCGATAGGCTACATAAACGCGAACTGGTATTAAGGGTTGAATGGTCTGCGATTTACAGAACCAAAATTTGAAGGCTCCACTGACCGCCGAAGTTAAATGGGCTTTACAGAACCAAAATGTAAAGCTCAATCTTGAACTTACCGACAGCTGCAATTAACTTTTTACAACTACCCTAAACAAGCACAAATTTCTTTGACAAATGTTCAGAAAATGGTAAAATTTAATTTCATATAAAATCAAAAATAAGAGAAGCAAACAAAAAAATAATCCCTTCAGGTAAATTTGATATAATTTACGCTGCTCGCATAATTCCACAAGGCTAAATTTTAATTAATAAGAACAAAGTGGCAATTAAATCTTGTCCCCAAACCACGGCCTCTGGGGCTACATTTATGCGATTATTTCCAAGCAATTAGACCACCAGGGATACGTGGAATTCAATTCAATTAAAAAATGATAAATGAAAAGAAGTACTGTGCGATTCGAAGTTCATCAACAGTGCCAACAATATTGCGCATTTACTAACTATAAGTATTTTAAAGATATTATTGACAGTCCGTCCGCTAAATTTCCAATTTCCAATACCCATTCCTTTAAGAGGTAATTAGACGCGACCCTGGGAGCGACCCTCACATAACCGAATTCTGTGGTCATAATCTATAATCTTTATTATAATTTATGGGCGTAGAAACCGTAAAAACAATACTGTTTCTTTGCAAAATTGGTTAATATTCAAATGCGGAAAGGGCTGCTATGCGTATTACTAATATCGATAGTCCAAAATTAGAGAGAGTTCTCATACCGATTCTCTATGTATTAGCCAGGCTCACCTCAGTCCCTTCCACTGACACTGTAGTTTTGAAATATTTACACTTAAGCTTTCGCCAATCCAGTAGATATGTCTCGCCCAGCCGTGCCAATCGCTCTCTGATAGTACCCTCTTTCGACACTCCGTTCTGCAGATATTTCCACTTAAAGTTTTAACCTCACCAAAAGATATGTCTCATCCAGACGATTCATTTTGCCTTTGTGACTACTCTGACACACCGTTTTCGACGAGATATTCGCACTTAGAGTTTTCACATCACCAATAAGTATCTTTCTTCCAGACGTTCCAATCGCGCATTGGGATTACCCTCCTCTCACACTCCGTTCTTGAGATATGGGGAACCGATCACGATACGGAAACGAGAAGAAAGATTGTGGTTGGCAGAAATTAATTCCTTTCGTTGATACCTTTTATTGATATCATGAATATAACAGCTTCATCCCCCCTCCAGCCAACCTACTGATCTCGAAAAGGAGTCACGGGGAAAAGTTATAGTATGTAGAAACCAATTCCTTTCTATTAGACCTGAATACCATGAAGGAAAGAACGCGTGATCCCCCCCACTTTAAACTTACTTAGCACTTCTACATGTATGCGTATACAAAATCTGCGAAAAATTAGTCGTCGCATGTAGCAGTTATGCACTTTCAGAAACATCTCGAGAAGTAGTTCATGGGGGCGGAACCTCCCTACGACAACAAAATTTGAAAGCCCGCCGGCAATGCAACAAATTCCAGGACACTTAACCTAAAAGTATTTCAGATCCATGTATCTGAAATAGAGCTGGATACCGCTCGCGAGCGATTCGCTTGAAAAAGTCCTCCAAGCGGAAAAAACGCTTGCGCGCGCTCGCGAGCACATTTCTGAGCGACCGTTTTGTTAAAATGCTCAGCGCTCAAGCGCTTTTTTCTGCCCGCGAGCGGTTTTTCCCCTAGGGTGTTTATTTTTCTCTCGCAAGCTCTTTTTCCGCTCCCGAACGTTTTTTCCGCTCCCGAGCGCTTTTTCCGCTCACGAGCACTTTTCCCGAGCGCTCCCGATAAATCGATCGAACCCATTAGGAGTGCTCGGAACTCGCAAGCAAGAGGATAAACGCGTGTGTTACTTCTTTGGGCGCAATCAAGAACTACTCTCTCAAAAGAGGTGTTATACCGAAAACGAGTACCCTGTTTCTAAAAAAAAAGGGTAAACGTGATGTGTTATTTTCGTGTGCACAATCGAGCATGGCACTTAACATTTTCTTAGTCCTTCCAAAAGTGGTGTGAAACGTAAAACGACCACTATGTATCTTAAAAAAGCACTGGCGAAGCACTAACGCTTGCAACATGCGTTAAATAATATTTCCTTAGTGCAATTCGTTAGATATATTTCTTGGAAATGTAGATCTTCATTTAGTTAAAATATGAGGAAAAACGTGGAATAACATGAAGACAACCATCAATCAAAGTACTGTCAAAGAATAACTAATATAATTATGTATTCTTTGGGACTATGGCTACCGTTCTTTTTCACTCAAAGTCAGTGGCGGATTTACTTATGGGCACTTTAGAGGGCGGCATTTTTTGCACTATATTTATTTTAGGTACCTAACATTTTAACTTTTAAGTTCTAAAATAAGTCCCATAACAAGTTACAAATGAGGTGAAAAATTAATCTTAGGTATACTTGATTTGATTTGATTTTCATTAGTATCTTAAAATTTATTACAATTTAAAGATTATTTTGGGGCGCATCGCATATCTTTCGGTGTGCCTAGGGGCGCAAAAAATTTAAATCCGCCCCTGCTCAAAGTCCAACGACGCTATTCAAAAATCACACAAGTCTATGAAAAAGTAGCACACTAGCGTCCTCTAGTGAAGGAGACTTGAAATACATAACGTAAACTTCCATAACACAGAAGTTTTCTTATTAAAAAGAGATTTATAAAACAAAATACAATTTTGTCGCGACATCTATAGCAGAGTAGTTATAATCTGTCACAACACCAGTAAACTTTTATATTTTCCATCATTTGAAAAGACTTACCCTGGTATCGGAACACTCTTCTCCCAACGAAATCTCATTTCCTGAACGAATTCAAACCACAAGTGAGCAGCAGATCTAGGTCCTCCTAACATTACCAACGCCTGCATGAAAACAACCGCCAGTCTATAGGGTAAGCTATTCTCCTTACATGTTTTGAATCCACGACACTCGTTATCAATGAGTCTAGGAGTCTCCTACAAATTCAACAACTAATAACTAAATCAAATGAATGAATACAAACTTACAGAAGAGCCCATATTGTCCTCGTTGCCTTTCTCCTTGCCAAAACTGTAAGGGTAGGCAGTCTCTTCATCTGCATCAGGGAATAAGAAGTACAGAATGGGCACCAGCACTTCTTCGGCAAGTGGAGCCGTACTTCTTGTACTTCGACTGAGTGAGTTTCTAGCGGCACGCTTTAATACTGTTGAAAGTGTTGGTAATTTAGGTTCGGTCAACAGGTCCAGTGGATTGTCAATGCTGTAATCGGAAGTTGACACAAAATCACCTAGAATGTCATAAATGGTCGACCTCAAGGTGATCGCGTTCAAGGCATCACTTAAAACTTCCGATAAAAGACAAAGGGACTGATCGTTCATTTTACTACACATGGACCACTTAGGCGCTTGCATGGGGTCAAAATCAGAATAGTTCTCCGAGTCGACAATGAGATGATCGGGTAAGTGCGACCAAGTGGTTTTTAACACAATTTCCGAAATGGGATCTTGGGCGACACCAAAAGGTAGCAGAAATACAGACGTTTCGATATCTAAGTGATCAACGTCGAGGTCGGGTAGGTCTTGCTTCCAAGTAAACTTCCCGAATTCGTTTAAACGGTAGGTTAACTGTACAGATACATTGATAGGGTCCAGATTAATCGGCGACATAATCTTAGTCTTGAATAGATCGAGTAAACCCGTCAGATACTGGCAATGCTGAGGACCCTTTCGCAAGTGGATCATTTCGAAGTTGGTACGTACTTGTTCGTCCTCGTAGACTCCTAGATAACAGTTCTGCCATTGCTCACGAATTTGTACAAAGATCGGGTTGCTACAGTTAGTGTTACTGATTGCAATTTGCACCGAGCTCAACAGCAACTTTATCTGGCTCTCGGAAGTAATGCTGCTAGTAGATGGCCCAAAATTCAATGTAATAAACTGATCAAGTCCGTACCATACAGCTAAAGGACAGTCAACTCGTGCAGTGCTTTCATCTTGCATCACAAAATCGTGTGCAGTGTCCATTGGGTGCTTGTATTTCTTTGTTTCTTCATCCTCGTCACCACATTTCCGTTGCTCCGAAGCAGATGTGTTTCTAAAGTAGCACAACACGAACTCAACATCTGCAAATTGTAACCTCTCTTCTTTAACATTCCACGAGCCTTGTGTTGAGGTAACATTCACCTCTTCGGTTTTAAGATCGTCCACTTTCCATTGATGTATTATCTCCTCTAAGCGTGCGCAGAATATTTCCCATTCTGAGGCAGTTGTAAAATCTTGATGGTAAAACTCTGTTTCGTCAATTTCCTCATTCATTTTTACTATTTTGTAAATTACAAAAAATTTGAGGTTATGTGTTTTTGTGTATATAATTGAAACAGCTGTTTTTGACGTTCCACTTTACGCATTGGCGTGCCTTGTTTTTTTCTCTGGTAACCCTACCATTGGCGTCGATATTTTAAATAACATAATAGAATCTTTGAATATTTAAATAATTTAAATGTAGTGGTTGTGACAAATTGTTTTTATGAACTTTTTGCATTGTTTTTTTATCATTGACCGACGTAGAATAAATTATTAGCCAATTGAAAATTACCAGGCTTGTAATAATACCGTATCACCTTGTAATCTTAACGTTCTACATACTGGCTCAGATGAAGTGACTTCAAAATCACATTTAATCGTGTTTCGAATACCGACGACTACGAAAGGTAGTGTTTACGGCCCCTCTAAAGTGAATTAATTTCTCTAAACGGAGTATGTAAAGTTGAAGTAGAAAGAGGAGAATGACTTTGTCTCATTCTACTACACTTATCTTTGTTGTCTCTTCAATTACCATTCAAAGGAATTTAATTATATATGCAAGGACTAATATTGCACTTGCCTAATGCAGTTTTTCTATTGATATTATTAAATGCACATCTTGTTGATTTATTGCATATGACATATGAGTACTGGGAATTAAAATTAAAATTTTCCTTTTTAATGCTTATTCAAAGGAATTTATGTTTTCAAATACGGATATTTTTCTCCAAACACTGTACTAGAGCAATATTTTTGATTCAAAATAAACATACTAAAGTACAATGATATTTTATGGTTTCAAAAGTTTCGTATTTTTAACATAAGTATTATTTGATTTATCTTTGGGAAGAAAAAAAACCTCTTTGTGTAATAGTTTTGTCCGTTGGTTTGTCCTCGTCTGTCTAGCCCGAGAACGCCAAAGCTTGACCAATCGATTTGTACGAGTTCAGTTCAATATATGAGCCGGATTAAAAGTCAGGTTTCTTGAAAATAATATTCTTCGTATGTTGTATGTCGTGCGGAATCAATTCCCTATAATTTAAACCTGACAATTTTAGAAACACTAAAGGAAGGTATAAACTTTCAATGCAAATTACAATAAAAATTACTGACAAATGTATTCGGCTCATACGCACAATTTTGAGTAGTTTGTAGGATGACATTTTAAATTTCTTTATTATGACGACTAATGAAACATGGAAACGATGTTTTCTAACTGTAAATGCAATAAATTCTTAGCTAAACTCTCAAAAAAGTATTCATTCTGAAATAATCGCAGCAATAAATACCCAATATCACAGAAATATGAGCGCACGTAGATTAGGGTCGGTCGGTTTATTAGATACATGTTATACAGGGTGTTCCTAAATATGATATAAATACAGAACTTATTCTTTGCTTATTTTATGACTCAAAGCAAAGACCTTTGCGCAAAGTTCATATAAACATAGGTCCACAAACACTTCGTTACCGATTTACAGGGTGTTAAAATTTTAAGATTTTTTCTTTATATCTCCTGCAGTTTTTGAGATATTTCGTTCAAGTTTGAAATATAAGTTACCTGAAGGGATTATATAATTGGTCATTTCAATGGTAGTGAAAACCTACAGGGTGTTGTATTTTCATGTTTCATTTTTTACTTCTTAACTTTTTTCGATACCATAATTATTACTACCAAGTACAAGGACAACTTCATAATAACAAATCACGTTATCATAGTGATAACCATATAGTTCTTATATGGTCTATTCCCAATAGACCATATAAAAACTATTTAAAAGAAAACAAGTTAAAGCATACATATTTTTGTAAATAAGTAAGTTAGCATTGCGCAGGCTGCGCATACACCTGATGTTTACATTATGCGATATTTCAACAACATATATTAATAATTAAGAAAGTTGCAATGAATCGTCAAGTTTTTTCTTATTTGAGGTTATGTTGCTATAACCTACAAAATAAAAAAAAATTAAGTAAATATCTTCAAAACTGTAGTAGTTGCGGCCGTAGACGGACGGACGGAGAACTAACCACAATAGCGCCTTCCAACATGAGTTGGAAAATGCTCTAAAAAACCTTTCAAAGTGTAGGCTACATATTGCAAACAATGCAGGACTCTAGGACAATTTTCCTAAACATGATTCAATAGTGCAGAAGTGAGTCTAAGACGACGGACAGACAAAACGCAAACAACACCACATTTCGCTAGTTAAGCGCGTCGTTTTATATTTCAAATGGTAAGCGAATATTTGGGACCATCTTTTGATAACAGTTTTGAGTTCTGATTACAGTTCCAAATTGCCCTGCAAGAGTTTTGAAATTTTTTTCGCTTACTACCTCTATAAATCTCCAAGAGCCTCCAAATGCTTGCGTCTACAGAAGTGTTTAGTATTTAAGAGCATTTAAAAGTTTGTAAATATCACCAATAATCTCATAGGGTCTCAAAGGACGCCTCGAGAGTTACATCTTCTCCACCACCAATATCCACACAAGAGGAAATAAATTTCTGAACAAATCTCTAAATAAATGGAACCTCTTTAATCTTGGGGTTCGGTACTAAAAAAATTCCGATTCTTAGAGTAAGTACAAACCGTTGTTATTAATGCACAGCGTATAGGTACAACAAAAGAGACTTAGTAAACTATGATATATGTATAATAAACATTTTAACTACTCTTTATCTCTCTATCTATCAAAACACTGCGTTTTGTCCTTAAACTTTCATTTCATCATTTTCCTGGTTGCACATACACACGTCAGTTTTGAGGTCTACCTGCTCAATGTGCATATTATCAAGGGCGCCATCAGAAAATTCTGTTAGTCAGAGTGAATCTTGAGTTTCTCAAATTTTCGTAGTTTGTAAATGATATATTGAAAAAACGCCAAGATGGAAAATGACATAGTTAGTGGTAAGGCACCGGCCCGTATGACTTCCATGAAGCTGAAACATCAATGGTATCACTTTGGCTAGCTATTTTATATGTAAAAGGATGATGAACTTCGTAAAATCAATACATACCTTCACGACAATTAACTTAATTAAGACTCACTTGTATGACATCGCTGACACGTAAAACGGCGAAGAGGTGGGTACCATCCCGCATTTCGCAATAACAACCGCTTGCTTGGGACGATCGTATGGATCAGTTTTGATGCGTTCAATTTTATGAACCAAAGTCTGCCCTTCCAAAACCTTCAAAATAGTTCAATTTGAATAGCCCTTATAATTCGTAACGAACCTTCCCGAACACGGTATGTTGACCATCTAACCAATGGGTTGCAATTGTCGTAATAAAAAACTGACAGCCGTTCGTATTGGGACCTAAAATTGGATATTAACTTTTACACTGAGTATACCGAAACCAACGCACCTGAATTCGCCATACTTAGAAAACCTGGGCCATCGTGCGTCGCATCAAAATTTTCGTCCTCAAACATATCGCCGTGTATACTAATGGTACCACTGCCATTGTTAGCCAAAATATCTCCACCTAAAACAGTTAAATCGACTAACACAACTAGGCGGCGTTGCCAACATACCTTGAATCATAAATCTCTTGATGATTCGATGAAATGTTGTTCCGGCGTAGGTTTTTCCATTTATTCCCTCAGTGGCGATGGTAATAAAGTTCCGGGTCGTTTTTGGTACGATCTCCCCAAACAGCCCGAACACTAGTCGTCCTAAGGGAGCATCGTCAACTGTTACATCGAAAAATACCTGATCCGTAACTTTGTACTCGCCCATAGCCTGCAGTTTAAAAGCTCTAAACGTACACAAACAAAAACCCGTCTTACATAAAGCTGGGAGACACAAAGGAATATTAACATAACAGGCTTCATCTTCTCTTGGTGAATATTACCGGTGTTCTAAGGGAATATTCAATATTATAAGGGAAGTCGTATAATTAGATTTATGAAATCCTGCGCAAAACCGACGCTGAAACATTACGTTTCCGTTGTGAGAGAATGATCCGTCAGTTAATTGGAGGGAAAGTTGTGCATTTTGTGGTCGCTTTCAAGAGCTTCCAAGTGAGTGCAATATGCTCTTAGTTAAATTTCAAGAGTCTTCAAAAAAACCAAAGCGGTATCTATAAGACTACTTTAGGTGTCGCTAAGAACTTCTAAGAGTATACAGATACCTTCTTTGCACGTTTAAAGCCTTAAACAGCTTTAACTGTCTCTATGGGTCTTCCAAAAGTCTTCACGAGGCTACAAAGATCTTTACAGGTTTTGAGAGTCGTTAAGAGCCTTTAGAATTCTTAATACGCCTCGGAGTTCTTAAGAGACTTGTCTTGAAGAATGTTATAACTGTTAATGACTTTTATCTGTCTTCTTTAGCAGTCTCCCCCAACTTTCAATAACCTTAAAGAGTCGCCAGGAGTCTTAATGAAGCGTTTAAAGACCTAAACATTTTATTTTCTCTATATGAGGCAACTCAATATACTTTAACCTTTATTTATCCTTGTTTTATTTATCGCCGATGCTAAATTAATAGTAGGTAATGCCGACGCAGAGCCATGGCTATTTGATGTTCTTTAGGTACATGCAAGTTATCATTTCACGAGTTGATTTGTCTAAATTGAACCTTAGATGTGTTTACTGTGTTTTTATACTAAATTGATTCATCTTGTTTTTCTGTATTTATTACGTCACTTTGTATCTCGTTTTTATCACCTGACTTCCATTGTACAATTTGAGATGTTGGATTTTGTACTTCTTTATTTTGTTGCCGTAGTTGATGTATTTCTTGTGTGTTATTCCAGTTTTTTCTTGCTGTTTATTTTTTCCTGGCCTTTCGGTTTGCTTTGCTCTGCAGAACCAAGCTTCGTGCGTAATAAATGCCATTTTTCTTACTCTCTTATCTCTTCAATTCCTTTCTCGATTATGTCTCACGCCCCAACACATAAAATAACGGCCGTAGTATAATACAAGTACAACGTATGAGACCTATTCGTACCATCCAGTCGGAGCCGACTGTTACCGAGATTTGAAAGTGGCACGAAACTTCTGTCGTTTTGACATTGAAAGTTAGATGGGGTGCTTCTATTTTTCTGCAAGAATTGCCAACTGTAAGTCAAAATGGCAGGATGCAACATATAAGTCTGTTAAAGATTGAGTGATAGATAGGGCTAATGGAAATATTTTTTGATGTTACGGTATCTGACCATTTTAAATTTGAATCGTTCCCGCTCTATTGGATTTAATTTTTGGCGAAAAACATAAGCTACGGCACTGGATATGTTTTCTTTTTGCCGCGAAGCTTACGAATTGAAACTGCACAAGGACGCTCATGCTTTTGAAGCTGGCAACTGCTGGCGAGGTATTAAGTCGATGCGGCATTATTAGTAAGTAGTTCTCAGTGCGTCTGTTTGTTCAAGACACTTATGACTTAGGTAAAGTTTTCTTTTACTTTTCTTTGTAAATAATAATTTGGTTGTAGGGCATTTGTTTTATATTATTGTTGCTGTCGATTTAGTACATACTTGATATGATAAATTTGATTTTCAAAGGCCTGGTATAACATTGTGCAATGTTTAATATTTGTTGGTTGGTTAACAATTAAGTAAAGGTCTTAGCATTGTATGTATATACGATGGCCTTAGTTATGGGTAGCTTGATTTAGTTGCTATAAATGGCCCATATAAATGCTTTATCATGTATGTACATTGAGAATGCCTATTTAGCTAAGTATTGTTTTCGGAAAAGATTTCGATAGGTAGATACTCAGATACGGTGGAATTTTCCAACGTAACGCATGTTACATTTCATTTAAGATTATACAGGATGTTTATATAAAAGTCTAGGTCACATCTTCTTTAGGATTAATGTACAGGGTGTTGATATTTGGAGTATCTTGTAGTTGTCGAATGGCACTTTTCTACTCGGTATAGTAGTTTTATTTCACTTGCCGTTGCTGAAGTGCAAATGAATTCAATTACGATTCGGTTTTTATGGGAATATTTCCAAAGAAAAAAAAATTCCCTTATGTGATGGTTTTGTCCGTTTGTCTGTTCCTCGTCTGACTCGAGAACGACAAGAGGCACTAGCGATGTCAAATCGTTCGCCAATCGAATTCTACGGATTCAAGGATCAGTGGCTATTGAATATGGGCCGGATCAAAGGTCTGGTTTTTGAATACGAGCGGAGTGGCAAAAAATTCCCCTACTGAAAACCCTCGTGAAAACCGTATGCGATTCTTCGTATCTTGTTGATTTGTGCGGTGGATCGGAGATTTCGGTTGTGCTGTACTTATGTGGGGGCGTAAAATTTTTATTGAATTTGTTCTTATATTGCTATAATCTATCATTAACTAGTAATTGATGATACTTTTGCTGAAATGGTTTTTGAGCCAAAACAAAAGGGGTAAACCCTCTGGGCCTCCTTGGTATCCCTGCGGCTGATGCGATTTAAAGGATGGACGGGGTATTATCGATGAATGATGAAGATGGACGGGGTCTAGAATGAAAATCATTCCGCTCGAGCTAATCATAAAGCGACTCGACAATTTTCCTTGAATGGTATTTCTCGGACCTGTTTCCTCTGTTGTAGAAAGCCGAAAGAAAGCCTTGCTAGGAGCTTCAAATGGTCTTGATTAAGATCCATAGAATTAACACCTCGAGATTGTTTAGTTTATAGACCATGTTGATAATGTTACTGAAATTCGAACTGATATGCGCTTGACTATGGAACTCAGTCCTAGAACTGCCTTCGTTTGGCCCGAGGGAAATAAAATTCCCGAGGGAGATAGAATTCTCCGATGTTGTCGTGCGGTTGAAGGCCAAATTGAACATCATTATAAATAAAATTGTTAAATGCAAATTGGAAAAGAAATGAGAAAGTGAGTGAGTACATATCCTGGAAGGTTTTCAATAGGTAGCTCTTTTCCCTTCCTTGTAATCAATGAAGGCCCTAGAGCTATCCCTGATTTGAATTTTATTGTTTTTGCTTTAACGTTTTTAATTAAAACCCTCATTTCGTGTGAACAGGTTTGGTACTTGACGTAGTTTTGGCGGGAGTTTTGAATTTTGGTTTTGAGTTGCGCCGTCGTTTCTCCGCTGAATTTCAAAATAAAAGAAAGACCAATATTGAAGAGTTTTGAAAAAAAATAATGAAGAAACGAAACATTCTGGACGATTGCTATTAGTTTAGTTTTTACAGCCGTCAGAAGAAAAATGGAAATAACCGAGTAGCGTTCGGTGGGGGAAAACGAATGTGCAAATCAAAGCCGACCTGGACGAAGTATATGGTGAGGCTGCACCTTCGTTAGCAACAGTAAAATTTTGGAAAGCTGAATTTGTTCGTGGTCGTACGAGTGTTTTTGATGATGAGCGTCCCGGGAGGCCAAATGAAGTCACCACGCCGGAAATGATCAACAAAGTCCATAACATGATTATGGCAGATCGTCGAATCAAGCTCCGCGAGTTAGTAGAGGCCCTAAACATTTCCAACGAACGCGTACACAACATCATTCACCACCATTTGGACATGAAAAAGCTATCCGCGCGATGGGTGCCGCGTTTGCTGACAAACGACCAAATGCGAAAACGTGTGACCACTTCGGAGACGCTTTTGGCGATGATACGGCGCGATCCAAAAGATTTTTTTCGCCGATTTATCTTGCCAGCGACTTTTTCCTGTTTCCAAACCTAAAAAAATGTCTCGGAGGACGCCGTTTCGCAACAAACGATGAAGACGTCGCTGAAACTTCGGCCTATTTTGAAGAGCTCGAGCAAAAGTACTATTCGGATGGGATAAAAAAATTGGAACATCGTTTTACTAAGTGTATAGAGCTAAAAGGGGACTATGTTGAGAAATAAATCGATTTAATCCCAAAAAACTTGTTTTTTCTATCAAAGGTTAGCTTTATATCAATCCACCCTCGTATATTAAACAGAATAGGAAATGCGTGATATTTTTATTTTAAGGACAATATAATCTTGGGTGGAAACATTGTATATATAGGTACCTAATAATATCCAATGGTGGAAGTTTTACAATGCGCCACCCTCTATACATATAAATGTGCATCTTTGATCACGTTATTGTCCTAAAAGATTATAAAATAATGAGGTTTATGTTTATGTGAAAAGATTACGCTCCTGTGTTGATTAAAGAATATAATTTTTTAATCAATGGGTTCTGATTGTGAAAGGAATTTGTTTATTTTCGGATCAAGCTCTAAGTACCTACCATTGAATATCTACTAACCAAAAAGAATGAACAGTTATTTAAGGTTTGCGTATTTAAAATCTCACGGTCATTTGACAATATACAATGTAGCATACAATAAAAAGTCTCAAGATTGATCATAAAAGATAATAAAAATTTCCATAACAGACTTGAAAGTTAATTGCATTTGCATTGATGCGAACAAGAAACAATACCACTATAAGGTTTATGATGCAAATATCGACAAAGCACTATGTTGTAACCTATAAACGTTGCCCAATTAGGATTTTGGTAGGTATATAGGAAGATGTAAATAAAGCGGGTGTAATTGTGATAAATATTTATTTTTTATACTTAAACTGACTCAACTGGCTTGTACAAGTTTATAAATACAGATATAATCCAGTAGTACCAGTACCAGTTAAAAATATTTGTACATTGATCCTGAAATAAAAACAATTAAAAATACATTTACACTGTTTTAACTTTTTTTTAAAAATCTTGTCATAGTATCTACCAATTTAGATACGTATTGTTGCTATCTGTCAAGGTTATTGGAGTGAAGGTGCCTTACACGATGCACAATATGACACCTTCACTTTGTAGTAGATTTGAAGTCGGTTTGACTGGTGGTTTAAGAGTTTCACTCAGGAATTTGTACTTAGGTCAAAGAAGAGAAGGGGGTTGATAAAATTTTTGAACAGTCTCATGGGAATATATACAGTTAATACAAACACATCATTTTTGAGTGACAGGCAGCAAGTCATGCTTTACATGATGGACAACACCTAACAGATCCAACATACGGTACGATTATTGGCAAATGCGTCTAAAATAAATATGTACAGTGTAAAGCTAAATACTGGCATCGCCAGTGTCCATCGGACACGTACGCACATATTAACACAGCAAACAATATACGAAATTATAATATACAATTAGCTATATTACAGAACTAATTAATAAACACAGCAGTATCAGAGGCCGGTCGTGCCGCTCCTACAGCTGTTGTATCACAGTATGCATTGCCCCGACCCAATTCGTAGACTAGTTTAAGTTAGGAACATAGCCTTAGCCGACCTTTATGCGGCTAGCCCTTCGCGGCTGGGTGGCAGCAGCTCTTCACGGGCGTTGTCGTTCGACGACTTACGATCGAAATGAAGATCCCACAACCTTTCCGTCGGCTCGCGATTCGCTGGACTCGCTCGTTCCGGCGAATTCGCGTTCGATCGTAGCGGCTCCGACGGAGGAAAACCGAATCCCAGCAGACCGCCGTACTTTCCCGGACCAACGAGGCCGTTATGAGAATTTTGTATGACCGAAATTTCGTTCATCTGTTGACAATCATTAACGTTGCAGTTATACTCGGGATTTCTCGCTCCATACAACTTAAGACCTGTGATGCCGTCATTGTGTGAATCTAGTTGCCGTGGCAGTGAAAGCTATAAACAATTACCGCCACATTTTACTCTCTTCGGTTTGAATTAAAATGAAGATTTAGACTTGAAATCTACATCAAATTTTTTATCTCTCAAAATCTAATGCAATGTATCACAATCAATTTTTGTAAAACTCTCTATGGCAACAAAGCGTGGTGATTTATTGATCTTTCATCTCTATATGACCGAATGTTTCATGAAATTCTTTTACTCCTATAACGTTGATTATGCAATATCAGCATTTGCGCGATGCTTATATGGTGCTCCTCAGGGTAGCACCGTAGGACCTTTCTTGTACTTTTCTATAGTCAATGGTAAGGCTAACAGTTTTAAAAAATGAAATTGTGGCGAGGTATTGAATTTGGTAACCAAATAAAAAGTATTGGGCTGAGAAAACTAATCAGTGCATAAAATGACATTATATAAAACTTTAAGTGAGGCGTTTGACGTGACTGATTATCAAAATATTTCTGCTTTTTTTAATTTCCGAAGCGATTTGCATAAAAAATGAATTAACTGATGTGGGTCATGGGTCTATAAAGAATTGATTAATTAGTTTATTTGCGTAATAATGCACATCCGTTTTGTCAGAGGTGTCTTTCGTCATATAATAAATAATTATTGCTACTATCGTTTACATTCCTATAGTACATTTTAAACATTAGTATCATTCAAATCAGACAATCTGTTAAAGTGACTGCACATTTGAAAAATCAACATGATACCCTTGATGTAGATGGCCAAATCCTATAACAGTGATATATTGTGATTTCTCATTAGTCTTGATGGTAGATCATACATCATACTAACTAATCTGAGGGCGATTAATTAAGAGATGTAGTGCCACTAAACAAGCATTAGTTCATAGCTCTCATAAAATGAAACAAAGGAATAGTAATATCACAGTTTTGTAATAAATTATTTCACTATGACACTTTGATATAACTATCTAGATATTTTATTTTTTATCGCTTGCAATTTTTGGAATATACTAGCCCTATACAAAAATTACTAAAATATTCTATTTTTGTACTTAATAAGACACAGTTTAAAATGGACAAAAACGGCTAAATTTAGTTATAGACCATTGTAAATGAAATGTATTGTGTCCAAGATATCGATGTCTATTATGGATAATATCCGAAACCATATAGAATCTACGACGATGGTCAAATTAGAGAGATGCGCAAATAAAGAGTTATCATCATGCTTTAATGAAACCCAGAAGATTCCGATTACTTCCGAAGATATGTCAGAAAAATCGAAATTTTTCCGATTTAGTTTTAATTTTTATCTGATGTTAATTTGAACAGATAAAAAAATAAAAAAACACTTTCTCATTGTCACAACTTGAGCTCTACAAGATAGTGTGTAGAGATTTTCAGTAAATTTCGTTTCGGAGAAATCATCATCAACAAACAAAAGTTGGAAACAGTTGGTTTCAACACGATGGTGGACCCACGCACAACGCCATAATGGTTGGAGAATACCTATCGGACAAATTTTCCTACACGGACTAATTTTCCATTTTCCAGGAAATTGCGCAATAGGTAGGTCTTCTCTCACGATTACAATATTGTGCGCAGGTGCACCATCCTGTTAAAACAGAGTTGCGAACTTTTGTTTTTTTGTGTGCCGTACATCGTTGTATTAAGTAATAAACAATGATACTCACTACAGTATGTACTTTTTTACGGGCTATATAAAAAATAAAATTAACGATGATTTCTCCGAGACGAAGCGTTGTATTCAAAATTTCTCAAAGGTGTCTTGTAGAGCTGAAAAAGTGGCAATGAGAAAGAGGTTTTTTTTTTAATTTTACTGTATCTAGTTCAAATAACACCAAAAAAAAACCTAAAAACAAAATCGGCAAATTTCAGTTTTTCTGGCATATCTTTGGATGTAGTCGCAATTCTTTTGTTTTTGTTTACAACATGATAATAACTGTTGAATTACGCAACTTTTCCCTGATTTTGCCATCGTCGGATCTTCTATGGTGTCGCAGACAGTGTATATACAATTTTAAATATAAGCTAAACATAAAATAATACATAGGGAGTTCTACTCGGTGTTCTATTAAAAATTTCTGGTATAACAGGAAGTACCGCCAATTTGAAAATTTGGATAAATTCCTCATATCAACAGTACCTAGTACATTCTTTTTTTCGATATACAGGATTCTGCAACAGTGCGTCGGTCTTTCCTAGCTCATACCTGGTAAAAAAAAATATAAAAAAGCACCTAATGTGCAAATGTCAACTACAGATGGTTGCTGATTTACAGAAAAATTTTTGAATGTACAGGGTGTCCCTTTTTTACGGTGTCAATATTCACTATTCACTATTTGGTTTTCGTCGATGTTGCCAAATTATTAATTTTTTTCCGAATAATTCTCTATAAGCCACCCACACTTTAATAAATCGTTGCAACCTTGATTTTAAAGTTAAGAAATACATTTGATTAAAAATGTAAATCTGAATAAATGGTAACACTATGGTAATGAGAAGGTTAAATTTAGTGGCGACACACACAAAAATAGTAAAATTTCCATATCGCAAAGTAACTATTTTTTTCAAATGGAACTACCACTATTTTATTGTTCTATTTGATGTATGCTCTTCGGTAAACCGTGATAATAAAAAACCAAAGAATGCCAGACAGTAAACACGTGCCATAAATTTATGATTTGCTGCAAGTGTACTATTTAAAAAGTCTAGTTCATCTTTTTCCAAATTCGCCTTTTTAATTATTCCTATTTTACTACTTATTTTATTTTACTTGCATCAGATAACTTATTTGTGACATATACTTACTTTTTATCATTTTTTGTTTTTTATTAACACGGTCTGCACCGGTTTAAAACGTGATTAGTAACTATTTTTGTGAAAAATATTGAATAACCAAAAAACTACGGTGTTTAGGCTCAGGACAACCCTTGTAAAAATTGAAGAGTGCACAAAAGACTATCGAAGAGAGAAATAAAATATTGATAGTTCCATTTAAAAAAGAATATTTATGACACTTTGAAATTTAGAAACTTTACTATTTTTTGTCAACACCCTGTAGCACTAAATCCAACTTTCTCATTACCAAAGTGTTTCCTTTTATTCAGATTAACATTAGTGATCAAATGTATTTCTTAACTTTAAAATATCGAAATCCAAGGTCGCTACGATTTATCTAAGTGGGACTTGTTTATTCGGGAAAAAAAATTAAATTGGTCACATTGACAGAAAACCAAAAAGTGAATTGGTTTCCATGCAGAGGTTAAAAAATGACATCGTAACAGCTAGAAATATACAGGGTGTTCCTGTACAGCACTTGTGCCTTTGTGCACTTAAATAGCGCTACAAATCAAAATAGAGTAAGTTTTAAATATAAGAGGGAGAGTTGCGTTGTTAGTGACATATAAGTATCAACTTTCTTTTGTTAAATGAGCACAAAAATGGATTTTGACGTAAATAAAGAGCGTTACCTATCCCCTTTTTAACGGTTGAACAAATAATACTAGAAAATTGACTATTTTTACAATATAATGAAGTGGATTCGATTAATTTGAAATTAATTACCATTCTTTTGTCGATAAACAAAATTTCATTCTTTAAGGATGAAAGGTAACCTATGACCGAATAATTAATTATAAAGTAACTAGGTCTACATGATTAATGTTATTATGTAAAATATAATACCATACTGTTCACCTAACAACAAAATTGCTATTCCTATATCAGTAACCACCATCTTTCTTTTTATTTCATCATTTTTGGTTCTTTGAGAAACCTCATATTTAACTTTTGGTCATAACTTTTATAATTAAGATGATTTTTTAAAATCGATAGTTCAGAAAAATCGGAAAGAGTCACAAGCATGTATCCCCGCGAAAAATTGTGTTAATTGTAAAGTAAAAATGAACAAAAATTTGGGAAATTCTTCGTCATCGACCTCGTATCCTCTATGAAATTGTGCCCGAAGAGCGATTTTTTTATCTATCGCTTCTTTAAAACGGAATTTAAAAATGTGTTAACAGAAGTATCAGAAAATATTATTTTCAGTAGTATTTTTCGGTATGAGAGCATAGAAGATTTTAACTAAAATATCTTTTATTTTAGTTTGTGGGATTTATGTGCCAATCTGGTGATAAGGTTAATGAAGATTTGAATTACATTTTTTACTTTTGTATGTTAAAATGAGTTGTAAAAGGAGTTGTTTTTCATTTTTTTCCCTGACTTTTTATTGCGCATGCATTCATTTACATTCAATGTGTGATACCTTTTTATCTTTGTTATTTTGAGGGAGGACACTGTATAATTAACTCAACTATTTATATTTTGCGATTTATTTATGTCATACAACAAGCATTTGTCGGCGATAATGAAGAAATGTATAACATAATTATTGTCAAACAAAATTATTTAGAATTATTAGTATCTACTGCTGTTCTCTCCAATGGGAAAAAAGGGATTGATTAGTGTGCAGCCATATTCGCTATCGTTTTGCATTAGATTTTGAACTTTTGACATCAATTTGGTACAGGTCTCAAGTTTTCAAAGCGTGTTAGATACATGAGAAAAGTTTCACGTACCTTTTGTTGCATTCCATTAAGGAATGGTGCTGGGAGATACGGATAGAAGAGATCTGGTCTTCGTTGCAGAAATTCGGAATCCTTGGGTGTCATCGGAATGGGCGGAAGGTCTAAGGACATGCGGCGTCCTCGACGGGAGGCTCCATTGCTCCACATATGGGTACCCATATGAACCTATAAGGAGAACCATGTAGTGACTCAATCGGGTTGGTGACGTGAATTAGCTGCGTTAGTTAAGCGCAAGCTTGCATTACCTTTAAATTACCCTTTGTAGTGAAGGCCTTCTGACACACGGTGCATCGGAATGGTTTATCACCCGTATGTGTTCGCATGTGTATCTGCAAGGCCGAGCTTGATGAGAAGTTCTTATTGCACACGTGGCACAAGTGTTTACTGCCCTGTAAGCCTGCAAACACACACACAAAACACACGTGAGCCCCACAACCAGCTAAGTTAGTGCAAGCAATGAAACTGTTAACGACTTTGCGTATATGAAATATAATATGAATACTTACTCGGTGGACGCTTTGGCAACGGCATTTCTATTTCGGTAGGTGCTCTTTTCGGGAGCTGATCACAGACTGAATCTTGAGGCGGAGGCGGAGGGGGCGGGTGTGATTGTGACTGAGGTGGTTGTTGCGGTTGATGCGGCGGCGGCGGTTGTGGCAAAGAATTTGGCTTTTCCGGTTCCGGGTGAGGTTCGTGAGGTTGCGGAAGCGTCGAAGGCAGCGATTCTTCCGTTTTAATTGGAGGTTTCTCGAACATATGTTGGGGCATATCACGTATTTTATGCGTTAACATATGCTGCTTCATATTGCCCTACAAAAAAGAAATTTCAAAATAACATTAGCTGAAGATAAACAAAGTGATGTGTTTTTAATAATTTAAAAATAAAACGAGACACAAACAATAGTAACCACATTAACATTAAAATTGTATATAGAAATCAAATTCGTATAATCTAAAATAGACTACTTAGACATTCGACATAACTTACTATTGGCTCATAGCCAGCAGCTAATTTGAGAAGAGACAACTCATGTCTCTAACACCATTGTGTCTCTTAAAATATCTGTTATTTCAATCTACTCGTACAATCTCTACAATAAAAAAAACTCACCTTCGTTGAAAATCCCCGATCGCATACGTTGCACTTGAAAGGTCGCTCTTTCGTATGACTGCGGTAGTGGATTTCCAAAGCTGAGTTGCAGGCAAAGGTTTTGAAGCAAATATTGCACGTGGTGTTGCCACGACCTGCGTGAATTACTTTATTGATTTAATACTGACAGATCTACGTGTTTCACATAGCAAGATTGTCATAAACAAACTGCTATGCGAAATGGTAAACTCTTACCTGCTGGAGACACCAATCCAAGCGGATTAAAAGGAGTCGATGTCAATACAGTTGTCGTCAGCGACGAAAGGGCCGACGACATTAGCGGAGCTTGAGAAGGTGGCAAAAGACCAAAATTAGAAAATAAAGATGACGGGCCGATACTTGGTGCAGAAGCCGAAATAATAGGTTGAGTTGAGCGTGTCAGATCCAGCGCACCCAGTGAGTTTGTCTCCGAAAGTGTTGGACTACAAGGTTGTTGCGAAGGCGGTCGTGGTATCTACATAAGTGTTAAGTTTTCCGTTAGGCATTTAGACTATTTGGAAAATATCAAATTAAGACAGTCAAAACAAAACGAATTACGAACCTGAACGGGCGTGGACCTTTGGTTTGGGGATGAGCGTACTTCCGAACTTCCAGGACTGGTCAATCCGGATCGTGCAGGTGATTTGTCGCCATTTTGAATGGGAGAAGTCGACGTTACCATTCTCGAACAGAGATCCTCGGCCGAGTAGCTGATGCCCGGTGACGCCGAGTACTGAGGCGTGCTAGTGATTGGTGCGTTGCCCTCGGAAACGACGGGTGATGCGGAGAAACGGTTGTGCTCTGATATACTACCGTCGTCGTCATCCCCATCGTCGTCATCCATATAGTCTTGCTCAGACTTCACGTCTAGGTCTCCAAATTTCATACTAAACGGTAAACTACCCGGTCCAATCGGCGACAAACCAGGAATTGGAATATTATGATTAAGGAATGGATTCATGGAATTAGGAAGTGAAGGAAAAGCACCTGGCGAAGGCAAGTCTTTGATTTCCGCAGCCTGAATTTGCTCCGGAGTGAGATCAGTTGGTTCGCCCGTGTGCAAACGAATGTGCTGTTGTAACACCAGCGCGTTAGTGAACTTTTTATGACACACCGGGCACTGATGGAGCACCCTCATTGGAGGTTTCGCCCTGTGTACGCCCATGTGAGTTTTTAAGTTACCTTTGGTGGTAAAAGCGCGACCACAGATTTTGCACTTAAAAGGTCTTTCACCGGTATGTGTTCGATAATGCATTTGCAATGCACTCTTACATGAAAGCACACGATGACATATGACGCACTGGTTAGGGTCACTAAGTTTATTTTCTATATTATCCACTAACTGTTGAAGCTTCGTGGTTTCCGAAGTTTTCGTAATTTCTATTAGACTTTCCCAAGAGTTGTCATTACTGCCAGGCCTGGGCAGTAAGTTAGTGTAAATCGCCGGATCGCGGGCGGGGTCGAACGTGTGAGGGAAAGATCCGAGACTTCCAGAAGATGTGCTGCTAGGCGGCGAAGTAGTGTGACCGAATGGGAAATTGGCCGGAAGCCTTTGACCGGTGGATATACTAAGCGGAATTGAAATTGAATTGTTTTTGTTTGATAGATTCTCCGGTTCGTCCTGAATACGATCGGAGCTCTCATTCGGGCTTCGCGGTTCTAAAAGATCGTCGTTACTAAATTTACTATCAGAGCTGCACTCGTCGTACGGCGGCGGAGACGGGTATCGTTCGGAATCTTGCTCGGGCTCTTCGGTTTCCACCTCCTTTTTCGGCGTTACTTGAGGAATATTAAGTTGCGTGCGCGGTTCGTCGCTCTCGTTCTTGTCGGACAGCTCGGTTTTTGTTTCCGGTTCGTGAAGCGGCGGAGATCTGTTCGGCTTGCTTAGGTTTTCGGGCACGTCCTGCTCCTCGCGTTTCATAAACATGGGGTGCGGGGAAAACAATCGTAGCGCCGCCTCGGGCGGCCGGTGAGAAGACGGTTGAAGTCTGTTGCTTAATAAGTCTGGCGGTGGACCGGGAGGTCTGTATATGGGTATTGTAGAAGGTGGAAAAGTGGTGGCGCCAGGAAAGCCGTGGGGAGGGTGATGAGGTGGTCCGCCGGGTGATAAAGCAGACTGCTGTCCCAATTGGGCTAGTAGTGGCGGATGGTACTTATCTAAGTGTTCTGGAACTGGGTTTGGGTTCATTTTGATATGCGGAAACTTACCAGAATGTCTTTGGAAGTGGACCTTGAGGTTACCTTTTGTTGTAAACCGACTACCGCAAACATTGCACTTGTATGGTCGTTCACCGGTGTGTGAACGGATATGTATTTGAAGAGCAGAGTCGGATCCAAAAACTTTACCGCAATATCTACAGCGGTGTTTAAAGAATGGTTCATTTCGCCCCTTGTCGTAGGATAACGAGTCTTTCCTTCGAAACGCCAATTCGTCCGCTAAGTTGTTTGCTAGTAAGCCTTGACTCGCATTATCTAACACTTCCTGAGCACGTTTTTGTAACATCTCTAAGGTGTTCGGCTCGTCTAGTGATGGGGGTGGTTCATTATTGTGAGTGATAATGGTTGATGCTAGCGATGAAGATATCGAACAGAAGGGAGGTTGCATGGGAAGTGGTAGCGATGAAGGGTTAGAGGATTCTATCGACTGCTCTGTGTGTGGTTGTTGTACTTCGAGGGGCTGAATGCTTTGGATTGGGACGGAAGGAGGTGGAGGTTCTTTTAGGGTGGGGGAAGGCTCGCGAAGGTTGTGAGGGGGCGGAGGAGGCGGCGGTGGTGGTGGAGTAGGTGATGAATTCGTCGGCGTCGGCGGTTGTTCACTTTCAGGAGGTGGAGAAGTAGAATTGTTCACTTTAACACGATTCAGCGAGAGTTGCTGTTGTAACTGGTTTATGAGTTGCAATTGAAACACTTGCTGATGTTGGAGTGTGAATAGTGTAGATTGCAGAACAGCCAACTCTTGTATGGCGGTTTCATTTCCGGGATTATTTGCCATTGCTGTAGCTGCAAATTGCGCAACCGCCACTTTCGTGTTCTGCAATGCTTCAAGAGTAACGTGTCCGGCCGATGACGGAAATTGGAAACCTAGTCGAGAATTATCGTTATCCTCCGGAGAACTTTCAGCAACGCTATTGTTATTCGCCGCGTCTTGACGGTGACGCCGTGCTTGTTCCAATCTCTTTCCTCCCACTTCTTCGTAATCTTCTTCAATTTCGGACACTACCATATCGTCGGCGTCCGATGGCGTTACTTCCTCATGGTCGGACTTAATTGTACAAACTGCTTTGTGTTCAAGATACTCCTGTACGTCAGTATATTGTTCCTGGCATCGAGAACAGGGTATTATTCCGATATCAGTTATTTCTTCAGTTGCGACTGCGGCTGTCCCTTCTTCAGACGATAAGGAAACCCTCTCTGCAAAAAATTACAGAATTAGTATGGATCGCATTCTATTATGCAGATATTATGATGTAAGGAATAGAACAGTGGGGATGTCGCTGGTGTGCCTATGTCACAGTCTGCTTTTGGACAGAATCGTGCATGCGCAAGTGTGTCTTAACTCTCATTTCTGGCTAAACGGTTGAACTGATTGGAACCAAATTTGGTACTTATTCTTAGATATAAAAGGGCAGAATCCCGCATGCGCAGATGTGCGGGTGGTATCTGTGCTAACCACAGCAAATTTTTTAACTTGTACGTATATGAAAAATATTGTACAATGACCTGAGAGCTCTTATAATTCAGATTGAAGCCCATGATAAACAATAAAAAAAATCCTAGATTCAAAATCATTTTGGAAGTATGGGGAAAGTTCAAACTCATACCTAAATTTAATGGGAAAAATGGTTGTGACATTGAATTCGTATAACCTGCACTTCAATAAAAATATTTGAGAACATTTTTCAGGGCAAATTTGGAATTCTGGTCAGAGCTGCGAATCGGTGAGTTGCAACTATTAGATGAGAGATGAGAATTTTTGGTTTCATTTCATGAGTACTATATATACGTGGATAAAATATTCGACCTTGTTTTTTAAATACCCTGTATATAAGTATGACTACATGGGCATTGCCTCTTATTTCCATATACCATACCATTGCAGTGCCAGTGTGCACATTCTAGATCCTTTAAGGATGAAGAGATGCCGTTTCAGGACACGGTTGGTGCAGATGTGTTGCAAAACACATTTAAACCCTTAGAATACGAGATGTCGTTTCAGTGTATGTTGAAGATTTATTGCAAAATTGCTTTAAATATTTTGAAGTATTGCGTATATTTAAGTGGCACCCTCTGTGCAACACTCTTTAAATATTTGGAAGTATGTGTCTTCTTTGATTGACTGTTTTGGTATGCGATTTGTTTCATAAAGATAATTTGGCATCATTTGCGCCTGCAATGAATATTTGTACACATTCCCTTGTTTCAGTATTTGAGTCATTGTCCAAAAATAACAAATGTGCGCCCTAGTGCTGGATTAGGTACAACCAAAACCATTTTTTTATTATCCATTATTGATGCACACAGTTTGAGCTTAGTTGTAGGTACGTACAAAGTTCAGAGGTTATGTTGACGATCCATCCGCTTCATGCCGTTCGTTTATAGTAAGGTTTTAATTTGCTCTAGTGACCACGTGACCTTTTCCATCCTACGCTCTGTATATTTCTAAAACGGAAAATCGAACGCACCTGAAAACGCAAATAACCTATACCGATCACTTTTTAATTTGATAGTATTTTACTTGAGGGTGAGATTGAAAACATGTGATTTAACGGTTGTCGGTATAGCTCTCTTATTTACTTTTATAATAATTTTCTTTATATTTTTTCGATATTTTAATACTTATTCTGCTATATTCGGGTCGGAGGCGAATCCAACACATCAAAAATCATAAAAATCAGTCCTGCCGTTCGTGAGTTATAATTTATTATGAATGGTGTAACATACAAGAATCTATTTATTTTATATATTAACATTCTCGTTTGTTTATTAATATATCTTGTATCAAAATAAACAATAAAAAATATAGTCGCCTATGAAAAACACTTGATAGCTGTAGTTGGTTTTTTTTTAAAAGTTGTTTGTCAAAATATCTGCATTTTTCATCTTAGTGTTAAAATTGTTGAAAATGTCAAAATGGGCGAAATGGCTAAATACGCTTACTATATGAACATAGTAGCGAGTCTTCAATATAGGTAGGTATCACTGTCAGTGTAAAATAATGAACAGCAAAAACCCTAATAATTAAGCTACCATGCACTTTATCACTGTACCTAGTATTGAGGCTGCAGCATTTGAGAAATGTGAAGTTACAATTACCCGAAAGGATACAACCTCGGATACAACACTTTTTGACGGTAAATTCTTGTTATTTATTACTGTTTTTAGCGCATTTCCACAAAAATAAAAAAAAAATGCGCTATTGTGGCCACTTTGTCCGTCCGCTCATTTTGCGACGCTACTAGTTCTTTATCTTAAGAGCTATTGTTCTACTTTTTTCGCTATTTGGTTCGTTATGGTGTCGAGTCTTGTACCAAGGAAGGAATTTTTTCTGTACCGCTTACAAAAAAAGTTATTGTAAAAAAAACAAAAAACCGTTTTTTACATGTTCCATAATTTTACACTTTTGCCGTTTATTAACGATCCTAGAGATCGTTTATAATTTTGCATTGCTATCTGTCGTCTGCCTGTTGGTCTGTCCGTCTGTTCTTTTGTCTGTCTGTCCATCTATCTGTCCGTGTGAACGATAACTTTGTTTAGAAATGTTCGATCGCTTTTACATCTCCGTTAGTTATGAACTGAATTGCATGAAATTCAATATGGGCATAGCTTTAGCCATATAATACGCAATGCCAAAAGTTGAATCGAATCGATTCAAAATTCACAGTGCCCTTTTCCCATCTCGACCATTTATCAACCGAATTGCAAACTTTTTTACTTATAAAGGTATTTGAATGAAATTTGATACATAGGCACTTGGAATAAAGGAAAATCAAACGCCAATTTCAAAATTTGGTTTTGCGCATGCGCAGTGCCAACTTTTTTATTTATGGAAGAATTTAAACGAAATTTGATACATAGGCACTTGGGATAAAGGAAAATCAAACGCCAATTTCAAAATTTGGTTTTGCGCATGCGCAGTGCCAACTTTTTTATTTATGGAAGAATTTAAATGAAATGTGATACATAGGCACTTGGAATAAAGGAAAATCTAGCGCCAGTTTCAAAATTTTATTTTGCGCATGCGCAGTGCCAACTTTTTTATCTATGGAACGATTTAAGTGAAATTTGATACTTAGGCGCTTGGAACAAAGGAAAATCTAACATTAGTTTTAAAATTTAGGTTTGCGCATGCGCAGTTCCAACTTCCTTATTTAGAAAAGCATTGAAATGAAATTCTTCTCATAAACTGAAATTGAAGTAGCACGTCCAAAATGGATTGCCCATGTGCAACGCTATCTTTCATATTTGTGGCCGGATTTTTACGATTTTAACAGAAGTTGCATCTTACAAATGGGAAATGAATGCAAGTGGAAATGCGCTTTATTTAAATCGTTTACGATTACTTTTTAACTTGTTAAATGAAGTATATGTTAAATACCGAAGTATCATAAGAACCATTGAAACCTAAATATTTACCTGTAGAAGGCGCGAGTTTTGTCATTGATTTCTTAGAAAGGAAAATGAGGTCCCAAACCTTATTTGGAGAAGCAGACATATCAAGTGCTGAAATTAAAATAACCGCTATTGGGCTAATGAAAACTCGCACCTAACTATCTGACAGATATATACCCAAACATTAAAGCATGATGGGGAATATACTCGATAACATTCCTTTAGAAATGAAATGAGCGGTTAAGTATGTTTCAGCAAAACGGTGCCCCAGCTCATAATGCGTTAGTTGTTCGAAATTATTAAATGATCTCGTACTTAATAATTGGATGGGGATGCAGGGACCAATAAAATGTCTAGCACGTTCACTCGACTTAACCGATGGTGAGTTTTTTTTAAAATAAAATTTATAAATAAGTAGGTACTAGGTACCTAGGCAGCTATCCTACAACTGAGAAAGAATTACGGGAAAATGTAGAAATAACGTTTGAAGCAGTTGAACCACTACAAATCTGGAATGCAACATGTGCATTTCCCACAATGCTGGAGGACACTTGTAGATTTTGTTCAATACCTATCAGCTAATTCACTGTTTTCTTTAAATCCTTTCAAGTGTTTCAAGGCGACTATATATTTTTTGTTATTTTTTTTCAGACATGTGTATACCTATTGTAGAGAACTTTTTATTGAAAATATGTATTACAATATTATGCATTTTCGGAAAACTCGTAAAACAATGGCTAACTATAATTTCCATTACTAAAAATGCCAGAATAATGTTACATCGATTTTGTTGTAGCTTGGTTTATCAGCGCTAATAAGAAAGTTTAATCCAATCGAAATTGGACCGCACTGTACAATGAGAATGAATGAACGCTTCCGTACGCCGCTTAATCACGGATATATATGACTTAAAATTCTATTTTTATTCAATCCTGGCACCAAAAAACACGAAGTTTGCAGCATGGCAAATTTAAACGCGCTTCAATCATTTCCTATCGCTCTGTATAGGCACATAAGTACCTATCTCTTACAGTTGCTGAAAAAAAATGCTAAAGAAGGGAAATTTTGGAACTTTTTGTTGCGTAGCTCCCAAGCGATACTTTTGCACCCTTGGATTATGTCGGAAACAGTGTATGTTTTGATCCTATCTATAGATATATCAATTTTATTTTGAGATACGTAGTCACCCTAAGAATTAAAAAATCTTCTTAATAATATACATCCAAAAATGCATTCCATGTACTGCATAGCTTTTGTCGCAATAGGTACCTATAACATGCACTTTTTAATTTACCTAGGTAGGTATATCAAAGTAACTTGCGAAAGGAAATTTTCTACACTAAAGATAAGGTAATCGATACGAAGCTCTTTTTTCTGGGACAAGAACGATTGTAATTTGAATAATCCTGAAGTCCCCCGCTTTATAGAACAATGTTATCCACACTATAGCATTTGTTTTAATCGTTAGGAGTAGGTATATCATTTCTATGATCATTGTGTGCATTGGCATCTTAACTGAATATTTAAAAAACCTAATAGTCCTATATCTTATTGCTTAAATATAGGTACATATTTCATTTTGAGAATATTGCGGTTATTCGTTTGAAATTTGTCGTAAGTCCGCAGTTGAAATGTATATATTATATATATAGCTATAGGTATACTATGATAGTAGGTAGGTACTATAGGTATGAATAAATTATTCACTTGGACCAATAGTTTGCTCCCACCCTGACCCGATCATAGCTACTGCCGATATTTATAGTAATAAAAACAACACAAATGCGCAATTCTATAACATT